AATGTATTAGTTTCAGTCACATGTTATTTTAATAGTGGGTAATCAGACTTACACTAACTTAAAACTTAATCATTTTATTCTGTTCTCCCACCTCACCAATCTTCTGCCTCCCTACTAACTCTGACCCACAAACCTTTTACAGATTGTGGTGACAGATTGTATATATATATATATATATATATATATATATATATATATATATATATATATATATATATATATATGGTAAGTATTTCACTGTTGGAATGTCAGTGACTAAACTGGCTACTCTGCTCAATGTTCTCATGAGTAAAGCAGGTTGTTATCAAGAGTTCTTCCGCCTTTTTTTTTAGGTCTTATTTTTGCTAAGTCAATGGCAAGTTAACTAGAGGTGGTGTCTCCATAAACCACCATGGACAAAGAGAACAAGAAACCCCTCCACCATTAATCCCAAGAAATATCATGGCAAATAACTCGGCAGTCTAATGCTATGCTTAAATTCATCCAAACTATTATTATTATTATGAAAGTATTTATAGAAAAAGGTACAGGGAAGCTACATTACAGTGGAGGAAAAGTGACTGAGGCTGAGATGCCAGGTCAGGACCAGTAATATTGGAGAGTCCTTGGATTATATCGAGAATCTCTCAATATATATAGCAAGAACACCAGACCATATTTGGCAGCAATATTTAAAAGTTCCACTTAAAGACCAGTTGCTCTACCTACCAATGCCTGTCCTGTTGGTCAGGCCTAGAAACTGGCTGAATCCCCTGCAGAGGGATAAGAACCTCTTTCAAAAGTGACCACCTATCAAGTAAATGCTTACAGGCTCAAAATAAATGACTAGTATTTACAAATTCCCTGAACCAAGTAAAGATTTACAGACTCAAATATTATTAATAATGATGATGATTGGTTACTCATTTAAAAAACATCTGTCTGCTTGGGTGGCTAACCATTCCTTGTTGCAGATGCCTGCTCAGGCACATTTAAGTTTATTCAACACTCATGGAGCCCACTTGTGAGCTTTACTGCAAATGATCTGAGCAGACCTTAATTACAGTTTCTAGAAGAGAGCACATAATCTGGCATGATCAACAGTTTGAGCAAGGCTAGAAATCATGCTTTTCCCAAAGTAAAGTCTACCATTTGTCCATGTATTGAATATTGCTGCCACATCTGGTTTGGTGCTTCTGCTATGTATCTTGAGATTCTGGACAAAATCCAAAGATCAATCCTTACTGGACATCTCAACTTCAATCACTTTCTCATGAACATAGCCTTTCCTATAAATATTTACATGTCAATTATTCTGATGAGCTTTCCATTTTGGTACCTTGACTTGTCAAATTTTAGTATAATACCAGATTGGCAGCTAGGTCTCATTATTTTATTGTTGAAATTGCTAAGTTCTAGTCTAATAGTTTTTTCTTTCACACTTCTTGCCTGTGGAACTCTCTTCCGGCTTCTTGGTTTCCTGCTACCTACGATCTGCAAAAATTTAAATGCGACATCGGTTGTTATCTTCTGTCTCCTTGAATCCTGTTCTTTTTATTGTCCTTTTCCCCTCAGTAACATTTTCTCAATTTTCTTTACACTTTTGCATCTTAGTGGATTTATCACCTTACTTGTGATGAAATGATTATTAAAAAAAAAAAAGTGAAAGCAACTGACTTTTCTAAAGTTTGAACTCTGCATGAGTATTCCATTTTCTACAGAAATGATTCCTTTCATCTTCATTTTTGATTAGATATGGAGCATTATAAACCATTATTCATTTTTGACAGATTTATTTCTTCTTTAGATGAAGAATTGTCAACCATTATCAACTTTTGATTAGTATTCACTGAAGGTTTTATTTTTTTTTTTTGTTTAGTTAAATGGCATGTGAGACTCCATGAAAGAGTGATTGTTGTTTAACCTATGTATATCAATACACAAAACAAATCTCTAACAAAAAGATTAGTTAAACCAACTTGTACTACAAGAAATTGATCTTGGCTAAACATGATTGATAAGTAAGTAGCTGTGTGTGTGTGTAGCATAGATAAAAAAAAAAACTCTTTGTTTAATATTCACTGGAAAGACATGTTGGTGATTTTATTGAGTGAAGTTGATGTGCTTGGATCTTTGACATTTTGGCTAGCTGAAATGTTAAAGGAAAACCTAATTGCCACTACAGATCAATCATTCCTAACTACCCACTCTTAAAATGATGCTTGACCTCAGGGTCATCCTCTTATGAAGGCTTTGTTGGAAATACTATCTTTATCTTTTATTAGAGGAAGTACTGACAGCCATTGTTGTTAAGATTACCATGAACTGAACATGTAAGCAACAAAGAAGTTTTAGAGAAAATGGAAATAAATTATATATGTGCGCACATACACAGGGTGTGATGAATAAACCGTCATCTAAAAATAACACTGACATTTAATTTTAACAGATATATTTACCAAAATTACACAAAAATATCTTGAAATACCAAAGAGTAAATTTATTCAATAAAATCACCATGGCTTCCAGATGATTTCAGATTCTCCTCCAACTTTTCTGGATGGTCTCCTTGTTTAAGTTGGTGAATGCTGCCACAATCCTTGCCTTCAGTTCATCTTTGGTGTTATAAGGAGTTTTGATGGTCCCTCGCTCAACTGCACCCCACACATAATAATTAAGGGGTTTATAATCTGGGGAGTTAGTTGGCCAGATGAAAGGAGTGATGTGATCACAAAATTGTGTGGCTTGGTACAGAGTCCTGTTGCCGGACGTAGGGTCTTCCAGAAGCCAACCTCTTGACCCAGAGCAGCATTACCTTCTCAAGACACTTGACATAGGCCTTCATGTTGAGTCTGAGGCCCTGTGTAAAGATGAATGGAGACATTAGAAAAAAATTACCAGCAATACATTATTACAAAATATAATTACCAGAGCTCAAAAGAAAAGAAAATTTTGGCAGTAAATGACCCATAAGGAGTTGATATACTGCTAACCAAACCAAATAATTTAGAGATGTCAAAATCAAGCAAGTACAAAAGTTTAAATATCTAGGAAGTATTTTAAAGGATGAAAAATGTGACACTGAAAATCAAAGTCATGTTGAAATAGGGAAAGTTGCCTTACAAAATTTAAACAATGTATTAAGAAACCAGAAAATTTCCTTAGAAATGAAGAAAAGAATGATGTAATATCAACCTTCTATATGGCAGTCAATGCTGGACGATTTCCACACTGATGAAGATGATACTTGAGGAAACAGATGTGATGCTGAGATTACCATAGATGGAACATGTAAGCAACAAGGAAGCTTTAAGGAAAATGGAGGCAAAAAGAAATAATTGAAATTTCTAGACCACGAGAAAAGAAAACTTGGAGAATTTGACACATATGACATTGAAAGCAAGATAGACAGAGGGAAACAGTGAGTAACCTATCTAATGAGCCTGTGTAAATGTATGGTAGAACAGGGAGTGTGCTGAATAGTAAAGGGATAAGAATTACTTAGAGCAACAAAGAAAAGGAAGTTGTGGAGAGCCATGATCATCTAAGAACAATAAAAAAACTGATGAAATTAAATACTAGTCAAAAATGAATAATAATGGCTCACTTTTATGCCTTTTATAAAATTTAATTTTAAAAATATTTTAACTGGCACTGTTTTAATCTTGTGGTGTATCCTCTCGTAGAGTAATGGTTAACAAAGCTAGTCTAGTTGGTCATTACTTCTGAGTAGTAAGTTTGAGCCTCACTAGGTGCCTCTTACAAAATTCAACATTATATAAGCCAACAACATGACATAAAATCAATCAACCAAACAACCACTACTTGTGGTGCAGCAGTGCAATGAGAGGTTCTGCTACAAGATTGGGATCCCTGGAACCAGGCCTCCCTCAAAGTTCTTCTGTTAATTGCGTAAAGGTAGAAACATGGCAGAGAGGTGAAGAACATATACTGCACACTGGCCCCAAATGCCAGGTATATTTACCTGGCCTCTCCACTAAGGAAGTACCTCTTAATTGCTATTGTTCCACCCTGACAAAGGGTGATAGCACCTGTTAGGCTCCCAACTATGGGCAAATAGTGACCCCACCCCCCAAAAAAAACACAATGAAACTATAAAAATATATTTTTATATAAAAAAATTACCAATGATACATATTTATAGTAGAACTACCAGCAAAATTTTTATAGCACTATGACCAACAATACATTTTATCTCTAGTTGAAGCTATAAAACTATGTTCAAAATATTTAGATTTCAGCATTAAATAATGAATAGAGGTTAATATGCTGCTAAAACAAAATCACCCAATCAAACTGACTAAGGCAGGCTGTGAAACAAGTTTGTTTTTATGTGGGGATCACCATACATATATGTATGCATATGGGCCAAGGACAAAAATTTTTGCCCAGTTTCAGTAACCACTGTCATGCTGGTATCAACCCTACCTCTCTTCCTGCAAGGTGGAATGTATTGCTGCAGGGTTGGAATCCCTGGGATTGGGCAGTTCTCCCATCTAAAATGAGGAGAAATGTTTATTCTACTTCTGGCACAAACATTAACTCCTGCGCCAACAAAAGAAATACTGATTTAGAGTTGTTCTTTTCTCTGATTATTTGTCATCCAAGGCTAGAGAGTTCAGATTGCCCTGCTATTTTACTCATATTTTGAGTTAACAGGCATAATGCCACTAATTACTGCTTTTTTCTTTTTTTTTCTTTTTTTTTTTTTCTTGTAAAAAATAAATTTTAATATTTTTTTCTTTTATTTTTCAGGATCACATAATCAAAACTGATTCCCTTTGACTGGAGGAACCGTTCCAGAATTAATTAAAAAAGACGCATACCAAAAATAAAAGCAAGAAAAATTTTAAATAATTTTTTTTTTCTTATTCTAAAAAAAAAAAAAAAAAGAAAATCTTTTCTTCTGACTCAGTCAAAAGTAATTTAAAAGTAAAAAAAAAATAAAATAATTACCAAAGAAATACCTCTTACTGAAAAAACAAAAACAAAGTGTAACCATGGAAATGGAAATAGTTTCCGATGATGACGCATGCGGGGTTAACAATTCCCACAACACAGTGCGCAGAATCATGTCTGAGGGTATCCTTCAAAATGATGACGGCGATGCAGAAAAGTTTGACCCCTATCGTGCTCTGGAACGATCCCAGTCAGATGCTTCTCTAATTCAGAATTATGAAAGTGGAATAACCACATCAGTTGATTCGGGGGACGATGACAACGTCCGTGTTCGGAACATAGGCCACAAAGTGTCCGAGTGTTCGACAGTGTATTACGATTTGTCCAAGGCTGTTGAATGTGAGGTTAGCAAAACTCAGAAGGTGCGGCCTCGGACACCACGTGCTCTGGAGACCATACCGCAGGACGAAGAACTGCAGATCGATAAACCAGTGAAGAACTTCTCAAGATCGATAAGCAGTGAAAGTACGTCAAGTATTTACGAGGATACGTCGACTTACACACAGAAAATGTGCAAGGAAGAGAAAAGTTACAGCTATTCTTCATCCTCCACCTCGATGAAGTACACAAAATCTGGTAACCAAGAGGAACAAGTTATCACCAAGAGTAAAACAACCCTCAAATCCTCCATGCAGTTGTACTCAACAGAACTCCGAGAAAAAATCCACATTCTGCACTTGGGTTCAGCACCTGAGCAGATAAGTGCACTCCGAGAGATGCTAGTCTTAATCGAAAGAGCTTGGTCATCGCCTGTATATGGTCGGGACCTAGCCTACGGACTCTGTGACATTATACGAATGGAAGGTGCTCTGGACCGGATTGTCAACAACTGCGGTTCCTCCAACAAGGACTTACTGCGGGCTTCGGGCCGAGTCCTCGAGCAGATTATGACCACTGAAAACCGGGAAGCAGTGGCCAAAAACGGTCTGGAGACAGTTGTCAAGATGACGTACAACACAAAAAATATGTGTGATATGGCCCGCACCTCAACAGGAATTCTTGAGAGCCTTTTCAAGACATCAGAGGGAACATGCAGTGAAGTGATCAAACTTGGCGGTTTGGACGTTGTGCTGCACTGGTGTCGTTACTCTGATCGCTTGACCCTTCGACACTGCGCCTTTGCCCTGGCAAATTTAGCCTTATATGGAGGGCCAGACAACCAGGAGCTGATGATTAAGCATAAAGTTGCTGAATGGTTGTTTCCTTTAGCATTTAATGACGATGACAGTATTCGTTACTATGCCTGCCTTGCGATTTCGGCTCTTGTGTCTAATAAGGAAATCGAAGCAGCAGTTGTCAAGTCTGGTACAATGGATTTGGTGTTGCCTTTCATTGAGAATCACACGCCAGCAGAGTTTGCTCAGAGCGACCAGTCACATCGCCATGGAAGAGCAAGTGAATGGCTGAGCAGATTGATCCCAGTGCTCTCAAGCAAAAGGGAAGAAGCTCAGGCACTGGCAGCATTTCACTTTGCCATGGAGGCAGGAATAAAAGCAGAGCAGGAACACAAAGAGGTAAGTGAGGGAGAGAATGAGGAAGGAAAGAAGGTGAAAAGAGAGAGGAGAAGGATGAGAAAATGAGAAAAGTAGAGGGAAAGGGAAACGCAGAGGTAAGGTGGATGGATGGATGGATGGATGAATGAATGAAAGAAAGTGGGAAGTTAAGGGGGAAGAGAGAGAGAGAAAGAAGAAAATGAGTAGAGAGAGAAAGTAGGAAGTTAAGGTGGGGGGAAGAAAAAGTGAAAAAGAAAAGAGGAAGAAATGAAAGAAGTAAGTGGGAAGTTAAAATGGAAGAGAGAATGAGAAAGTGGAAGAAGAAAGAAAAGGGGGGAAATGAGTAGAGAGGGAGGAAAACAAGGAAGTAGTGAGAAAGGTAAAGAAAATGAGAAAGAAGTAGAAAAGGAGGGAAACAATGGTAATTTGGAAGTTAAGGGAGAAGAGAGAGTGAAAAGAAGGAAATTGGGAGAAAATGAGAAAGTAGAGAGGAAAACAGGTATTTGGAAATTAAGGTGGGAGAGTGAGAAAGAGAGAGAAGGAAAGTGGGGAAAAAATGAGAAAAAACAAAATTGAAATATAAAGACTTATGGTAGAGAGAAAATTAGAAAAGGAGATAGAGGGTGTAAGAAAACAGAAAAAATGAAAAAGATGTGAATGGGAAGTTAAAATGAATAGAGAATTTGTATAAAAACAAAAAGAAAAAAGCATTGGTCACAAATTATCTGAATGTCAGACAAAGAGATGGAATGTCTCTTGTTTCTAAGCCGAATAAAGGCCATGTGATCATTTTATGTTTATAATTGCACTATATCATTAGTACAGATGAATTTTGTAGCTTCAAGCATTTTGAACCACTTCAGAAAGTACCTGACTCCTACTGCCATGTTCTGTTCTTATACAAATCAGATCAAAAATGGATGTCCTGGGTATGACGATAAACTACATCCAGCAGCAAGGCTTCTGATTGGAAGGTTTTGAGGAGTGTGGAACCACCTTTTAATTGCTGCTGTTCTACCTTGACTTGGGGGTGGTAGCACCTGTTAGGGTCCAAGCTATGGGCAAAGAGGGAACCTCCAAACTGGGGTCAAAACTAAATATATTAGAAAAAATTCCCAGCAATACCTTTTCACAGTAAAAGAATAAAAAATTAACAGCAATACATTATTGAAAAAAAATACCAACAATACATTTTTAGAAAAAATACCAAAAATAAAATTCCAGCATTAAATGACCCATTAGGAGTTGATGTGCCGTTAAACCAAAAATGGAGTATAGTGCTGCCCTGTTGTCACTTTTCAGCTTTGATAAAGTTCAAAAGTGCTTGCCTGGCCTTGTGGGTGATGAATTATCTCCCACCTTGAGGCCCTTTTTTCATAGAGTAAATATTACTAATGTATTGCTATTTTTATAGTAAATGTTAAGTTGAGCTACATTCTTTTGTTCTTCCAGTTCAGACCTACACATCTAAAGTCTGTCTTGCCACTTACAAAGCACCAACTTATCCACATACCCTTTGTATTCCTTTTGTAAGGAAGAAGTTTCACTCACACAGCTATTTACCCAGAACTGTCACTTTGTAGAACCAACTCCTGAGAGTATGTTTCAGCAACCACTACAATCTTGATCTCTTCAAATCTAGGTTCAACCATTATCTCTCCACCATATCCTCATGCAAGCATATCTTACCACTTCTCATTGTGTAGTCCTTAAATTTCAGTAGTTCCTGGGCATTGTACGGGGTAAACAATAATACATCAAAAAATAAAATATGGAAGAAAGCTTAAAAGACTACATCTAGGAAAATCTCTCTTTTGGTTATTATCTTTATTAATTACTAAGAAGGGAATAGAAAAGATCCTTGCAAATGGGTTATTTAATGTCTTCAGGAAGGCAAAGATTAAAAGACTGCATCTAGGAAAATCTCTCTTTTGGTTGTTATCTTTATTAATTACTAAGAAGGGAATAGAAAAGATCCTTGCAAATGTGTTATTTAATGTCTTCAGGAAGGCAAAGATTAAAAGACTGCATCTAGGAAAATCTCTCTTTTGGTTATCTTTATTAATTACTAAGAAGGGAATAGAACAGATCCTTGCAAATGGGTTATTTAATGTCTTGGGGAAGGTAAAGGACTGCATTTAGGAAAATCTCTTTTTGGTTATTATCTTTATTAATTACTAAGAAGGGAATAGAAAAGATCATTGCAAATGTGTTATTTAATGTCTTCAGGAAGGCAAAGATTAAAAGACTGCATCTAGGAAAATCTCTGCTTTGGTTGTTATCTTTATTAATTACTAAGAAGGGAATAGAAAAGATCCTTGCAAATGTGTTATTTAATGTCTTCAGGAAGGCAATGATTAAAAGTCAGTTATTTTAATGAAACCTGCATATATATATATTATATATATATAAATTTCTGAATTGTTTAAAAATACAGGTTGTTAACTGTGCAACCATAGCTTCCTCATTGCACTAAAAGAGTTAGGGTTAGTATAATATGGATACGAGTGTGATGGTCATCATGGGGACTGACCAAATTTTGTCCTTGACCCATATGTATGTCTTTTGGCAGCCAACATAAAAAAATTCCTTGTGTGGCATGAAAGTCGGGTATTTTTTTTTTTTAAACTAATGTTCACCCTATACAAGACCCAAGAGCCATCCGTGGTAGAGGGTTACTGAAGGAGTTTTTTGTATGAGTGATAAGAGGTGGAGTTTATGAAGATATGTTGTGAAAAGTAAAGGTTAATCCTAGATTTGAAGGGCTTAAAATTGTAGTGATTGGGGAAGCATCCTCTTGGCAGTTTATCCAACAAGGTAGCAGTTCATGGAAAGAAGCTATCTTAAAAGAACTTCCTCCTTACCAATGGAATATGGAAGGAAGAAGGTGATTCGCTACAGTCTATGCGGCATGCCACTCCTATATAAAAACAATGCAGGTTGTTTTCTTGTACTGATGTAAGGTGGGAGACACACACATACATACATACATACATACATACAGACAAAATTTAGCTTTGCATGAATTTATAAAAGATAATAAAAAGTAAACGTAAGAATCCTGTCCAATGCATACCTAATACTTTCTTCCTGCTCTACTTATCTGAATTATTGATAGTTGTGTAGTGTGGTTGCAGCAAGTTTGTTAATAGCCAAAATTCTATTTTTGTTACTTGCTTACCTGGTATGCTAAATTGTGTCAGCTCTTTAAGTGTCCAAAGAAAAACAACGACCTTCAAAGATTTTCTTTTGCATTATTCTCCCCAGCCTATCCACTTTCTGTTTTTTTTGTATGTGGCTCACCTTTAACTTTTACAGCAGTGAATAAGCGACAGCTAGTAAAACGAGACGACACATATTCACTAAATCACTAATTTTACTATTTAGTGCTCAAAAGAAAAGACTTACAAGCTAGCTGCAGGTGTTAACCTTTAGGATTACATCTGATACATTTAAAAGACATTGCACTCATTGAGGGCTCTATGATGCATAACACTACACCATTCACAATTTGGTGTTTTAAAAACTAAAGAAAAATTGGGTTATGTAATATGAACCCTTTATTTCTAGCCGTCTGCATTCTTCAGATAAGATCCAAGGGAGATAACCTTTCAGATTCATTCAATTTTAATTTGTGTAACCGGATCCATCAATATGAATGGATGGTTATTATTATTCTGGTAGCTGTTGTATGCGAATGTATTATATACAATTCAGAACTTAAAGCTTTGAAATTGAAGTTGTCTGCATATTCCAACTGTAAGATAGTTTTAAACAAATTTCTGTAACAAATACCCTTTCCAATATATTTCTTTCTTAATGATTATTTTCAATGCATTTCTTTTGTAAAATAATGTGCAAAGCATTTATATAGTGAAAATCTGTTGGAATGCAAAATATATAGTAAAAATAATATTCATTGCTGGTTGGTTGGTTTTGTTTAGCGGTATATCGACCTCTATGAGTTATTTAATACTGAAATTAAATATTTTGTACACAATTTTATACTTTCAGAGTAAATGCATGTTTTTTTAGATTTATAGTTTTGTAGATCATAAAATGTATTGTTGGTAATGTTTTTGTTTTTTTTTAAATGTAGTTAATATTTTATAAAAATGTATTGTTGGTAACCTTACTATAGAAATATATTTATAAACTTTTTTTGTTTGGAGGTTCACTATTTACCCATAGCTAGAACTCCTAACGGGTGCTACCACACCAGGTCAGGCTGAACCTGGGAACAGCAATTAAGAGGTGGTTCCAGGCTTCTCAAAACCTCCAATCTCCTGATCAAAAATATTCAGTGCATAACTATACTAAAGATGTGCAATGCAAATTTATAGTAAAAAAAAAAAAAAATGTGCAATGTATTTCTATAGTAAAAATCAGCCTGGGGTTACCAGATGGTGTAATGGATAATAGTTCAGAATTGTTAATCTGAGAACCGAGTTCCAATTCCAGTTGGGTTTGTTATATTCACTTCCATGCAAATACCCTTGGGAAAGGTAAGAATCCACCTCTTCTCCCTACAGCTATGGATTAATTAGTAAGACTTGTATCACTAAATTATTATTATCTCAAAAAAAATTCTTACAATCTAAAAATATTTTCTGGCTTTAAATAAACTGCAAAGCGTTGATAAGCCATACAAAACAAATCAATTAAGTTATAGTAAATAAACATTTATAATACATTTTTTATAGTAAAAATAGCAAAGTAATGCATTTTTTTAAAAATGGCTAAGCAAAAATCTATAATAAAAATATTCTGTGCATGACTAAATAAAGAGGTGCAATGCATTTCTATAGTAAAATACATTGCAATGAAATGCCATAGTAAAATATTTTAAAATGGCACTGATATTCTTTTTATATGCTATATCCTTTCAGGACGTAGGCGATCATGGCTCCCCACCTCCTTCTATCCCTTGCAGTTCTCAACAAATCCCTTCCCTCTGCTTCCTCCCCCAGACCATGTTCTGTCAACCACTTGAGCCCTCCAGGAATGTCATGCGCTGCTTT